TATTTTTAAAATAGTCAATAGGAAGTAAGAAATGCTGTGTTGTGAATCGTTAGAGGTCCTTGAACGCGTTGTTTGTCTAATGAAATTAAAGGTGTCAAGAGCCACTTATTGGAAACTTGGCCGTGGTCATCTCTCAGCTGGCAGCATTAAGGGCATGTTTGTTTGGGCGATTCTTCTTCATCGAGAGGTGATGAGTTGTTATGACTCCTGGAAATAAAGCTGTCTTCCTTTTTCCATTTATAATGACAAGTACGGATTGATTTGTCATCAATCAAAATAAAAACAATACAAAGCTTTAATAGAAGTCCATTCTACATATCAAGGAAACATGAGGATGTCGGCTTATTTATGTTGCATCATTTTTGAAAACTGAATAACTTTAGAGCAGACTTTGCTTTATGAAACTTTAACACTAAATTTAACATGATATATTCACCTGAAATTACGAGCAAAAGTTTTAAAAGACTTTTGTGAAATTCAAATTAATTTAATAAAAGATTTTATATAGAGAAAAAAAAATTCTGGAAAAATTAAAGTACTGTATCGTAATGGCATTATTGTAAAGAAAAACAACATATTTCTGGTAATAAAACCAAAATCTATGGTATTTGAACTATTCATTTGGTAATTTTTCCGTTCGTGTGGAACGTTTTACCAGAAATTCCGATTTCAAAAATTATAGCTCTTATTACCACACAGTTCGTATTATTACACAATTAAAAAGTAAATTTAATTGAATAAATGGTTTTTATGCCATGGTATAAGATATCCTGGTAAAATTACTTAATTTCACTACATTTACTAAGTTTCATCTTACATTATAAAAGCATATTTTGTTGTTAAATTTACAAAATCATTACTAAAGCACTTTGGTAAAAATTAACGAGCTTTTTGGAGATCCCATAAAACCAGAATCGCGGTTAATTTTGAGAATATTTCAGTAGTTTTAACCATACTTTTTCCCTCAATGCATAATATTGAACATATTTACAAATACTGAAAACATTTGACTGAGTACAAAATTATAAGTACTTCCATCACAAGCTTATGCACTCTGTTGAGGGTTTTCTCTTTGTTTTAAATTTCTCTCTGCAATTTTAGCGAAGACAAATGAATTATTAAATATATTTAGTAAAAGCCCTCGTATTGTTCTCTTCGATGTATTTAGTGCTTTGCAAAGTATTTTCTAGTGTTTCACCAAAAAAATCAGGTTTAAAATTAAAAAAGAAATTGAAGCATATTTCAAACTTTAGAATTAAAAATATTTTTTAAAGAAAGAATATTTGGATATTAGTGCTCTTGGTGTGAGTAAGAAAGTATAAAGCATCAATTGTTTATCGCCATTAACACGGTTAATTGCTTATCACCATTTAGTTGAAAAACTGACTGTTTAAGAAGACAATCTCTATTCAAAAATATTCTGACTCAAGCAATGTTAATAACAATGTACTTTTCACTTTAAAAGTTTTACTCGAAATAGCAATGGTTTCTTTGTCTGAAATCTTAATTTTTTTATTCTAGTGCTATAAAGTCAATATTAGTTGAATTTGTATGAGCATACATATCATCAATTTCATAATATGACAAAAGGTAATTTCTTCTTATTCGTAAATTTCAGTGTTGATTTTGACAAAAATTTTCAAATATTTTAAGTCATTATTTTTAACGACAGAAAATATATTTCTGTTTATAAAAACTATAAAATAATTGATTGTTAATTTTTTTTATCGTGATTATGCACTTCTTCTTAGAGAATAATTTTTCTCAAGTTTTGCAATTATATGACTGAGCAGTCTGCTGAACTTCAATGATATATGAAATCTGTAAACCCATTCTAATAAAAATGATTGGATAAAGATAATTACAATAATTAAAGAATTTTGAAAAACACGTTAACTGGCAAGTCAGCAATATTGCGAAAATAAATTTTCCATCATAGAAAAAGCTTCCTTATGAGCAAAAAGACTCGGTTTACAAAATCTTATTTACTGTTTAAAACTACCTAATCGAAATACTTTTTAATATTGATTGTCGATCATAACGTGACCTCAACCGTAGAAAAAACGACATTTTAAATGAGGTATATTGAAAATTTTTGAAATTTTTTAAGGAATGCATGATTTTCTTTTTTTTTTTGCGTTAATAATTACTTTAATTAAATCATTTAATAATTTGTGAAATATGATAAAAATTTTTCAGCGTATTTAAAAAATTAAAAATCTTTGTAATATAAATGAATATATAATTGATATAAATGAAAATACCATGTTTTAATATTAATACTTGAGTTTTTTTAAATTATCCTAGCTCTTGTCTACGCCTATGCTGCTATCGACACTTAATTTTTTTTTAAATATTTCCTTGCAAAACCTTAAAGTATTTATAAGATTTGCTTGAGGTTATTTTGAGGTATTAAGGTTGATTTGACGTTTATTTGACGTTGACTTCAAAACAACAATTAAAAATATACCTCCCAAGGTTTATAATCAAGGTGTATGAGGTTGTTTTCAGGTATTAAGGTCGATTTGAGGTTTATTTAACGTTGACTTTAAAAAAAAACATTAAAAAATATACCTACTAAGGTTTATAATGAGGTGTATGAGGTTGTTTTGAGATTGATAGAAATCTGCTTGTAAGTTTTTTGTGTAACTAGCTTGAAAAGGTAGTTTTTGAGGTGTACTCGCAGAAATAAAACTCTCTCTTTTGACGATTCAGCAATCCTTGAGCTATATTTCCTCAATTTTGAGAATTATTTCATCGCGAAATCATGTGGCACAAAACGGGAACTGACTAGACCAGGGGCTTCAAACTTACATGAAGCCGGGGGTCACAATTAAAAACACAAATCAAATGGTAGGCCGCAACTTTATCAAAATTTTATGTACGACTCTTTTATATTTGAAGGAACGTTAATTATTACTGTCAGAGTTTTACCAAGTTGAACGAAACAAAAGTATTGAATTATAAATTAAAATAAGAAGTAGATTTTTAAAAATATTTAATTGCATGTTAAAAAATTCGAACTGCAATAACTTTAATGTGCACCCATGTATTAAGCAATTAATGTACAACAAATATCTAATTGTTAAGATATAAAACTTTAAAAAGGTTGGTATTAAAACTTACATAGTAGCACACAAAATGTTCAATGACAAAATTGAGATTTGTCTGCTGCAACCACCAGAGAATAGATATTTACATTTTAAATTTAAAATTTACAAATGAGTGTGTAAATATTTTCGTCCAAAATAAGTGGTTTCAAAAAGTTAAATCGGAGAATTTCTTCGAGAAAATTTCTGATACACACATGCAAAATTATATTCACAAGATACAAAAAAAAAAAAAAAAAAAAAAAAAAAAAAAAAAAAAAAANTACGCACATGCTAAATTATATTCACAAAATAAAAAAAATGAAATAAAAAAGAGCAACATACACGATTATTTTTTTATTTGAATAAATGTTTTCTCGGATGCAAAACCTGAGAATAAATTTTTTTTTGCACCGTTGGTATGATAAATTTCACAGAAACGAAGAAATTAGGCTTTTATTAACGAGAAAAGTATTTTAAACCCATATTGAATTTTTGCGAAAACTGTCCGCAAAAAATTACAACTAAAATATTTTAGTTCGCAGGCCACAAAAAAAGCTTCGTGAGCCGGATGCGGCACCCGGGCCGCCAGTTGGAAACCACTGAACTAGACGATCAAAAATAAAGAGACGAAATACGCCGATTGACTGCATACTGGAGGAGTTGGCCTAGTGCCAAGACGTTAAAATCATTGAAATTAGTTTCAACCTTAATATGATGATAGGTTAAACCATTATGGTTGTATGTAAGATAAAGAATTATATTGTGGTTCTATTTGAAAATAAATATGGTTCAATTTAAAATTTTATTAAGGTTGCAGAAAATTGTCACCGTCTTATGGTTCAGAGCATCGATAATATATTTCTACGTTAAACAAATTTTTTGAGAGTTGTTGAGAATACCTGGTTCATTGTTAAAAATAATCTTAAATGCGTTCGTACTATATCTTAATTTTAGTTTTTCTTTTTAAGTAAAAGAAGTTATTCTAACTTTTTGTGATTAAGTTTAATTTTTTAAAAAAATTACTACGAAAAAAGGCCTTAAAACAGGTAAGCTTAAAAGCACAATTTGCTCTCGTAATATCCGTAATTTGGTTCAATATACTGTGGTTCAATGTTGAACTAATTTTCTTGAGAGTGGCTGTTCCTTCAAACATAAAAGAGTCATATATAAAATTTTGATAAAGTTGCGGCCCGCCACTTGACTGGTGTTTTTAACTGCGGCCCCCAGCTTCATGTAAGTTGGAAACTCCTGTGTTACATAATTAACTGCCGAAAAAATAACCGCGAAAAACATGCATCAAAACAGGTGGGGAAAAAAATCCCAATTTCTGCCCGTATTATGGTTCAAAATATTGATAATAAGGTTCAATGTTGAATCAATTTTCCTGAGAGTAGTACAGAATTGCTGGTATATAGTTTAAAATTGCCCTAAATGTATTTTTAGTAAGCACTTTGCTTTGTTTCATGTGCAACATAAGTCACTTTTGTTACATAATTTTACTGTTTAAAATAATAACTACAAAGGGCGCACTTCAAAAAAGATGGATGAATAATACAAAAGGTCATATTATACATCATTTTTAATGCTAACCCACACTTTTTAAAAACTATTTACATTTGCTGGAGGATAAAAGATTATGTCATAAAGATGTAAACACGAATGTGAAAAACCTTTTTATTAAAATGTACAGTTTCGTCAAAAAGAAACAACCCTAAAACTTTACGTATTCCAAGACTAACCTCAGTAAGTTCCGTTTCATCTTTGAATCCGAAGAAAAGATGTAGGGATGCAGTTTCGAATCACTAAACGAAGATTACGTCATCTGCATCCAGAGGGTGAAAAATATGAAGGCGGGGGAAAAGACTTTGCTTTCTGAATACGTCACAACGCAGGTCATTTAAAAACTCTGGTCGACCGAATTTTCGTTTCATTTGACACCGAATTTAGATTCTGCAAAGATATAAAAAATAAATGAATTTTGGGTTACTTTTTATTTATTGTTTTCAATGTTTAGACTTGGACGGTATTTAATAGCATTAAATTTTTTAAAAAGGATGTTATAGTTTATTAAAATTTTTAAAAAATTGTGATAAAGCTGTGACCTATAAATAAATTTTTTAGTGAATTTGGGTTTGAGGATTTCTGCAGAGGAGAAAAATATATTTCAGGTATAATAATTTTATTTGTTTTTCTTTACTTTTAGTAAAATATTATCTTTCAAACATATCAATTAGAAATTAGATAAAGTTATAAAGTCCTATGTAATTATTTCCATATTTGTACAGTATAAGAACTTGTATTCATTTAACATTCTATGAAGCGTATTTTGCTAAATTTTTTAAAATTTTTTTAGTGAAATAATTTGGTAAGTAACATATATTGTATTGGCAAATTATATTGACATTGTAATTACTAGTTAAGGGAAAAATCTATCGACAAATTTTTTTAAAAAAGTGCTATGTTAATATTTCTGCTTCTTAAATAATATAAAATATTTTTCAAATAATTTTTTTCACATTTATATTGTTCTTTATAATTCTGTTGTTGTGTTTTTAGATGCCATGAACTTTTGATTTGCGAACAAAGAGGTTGTACTCATTAGTTTATTTAAATATTGTGCAGTCAAACCTTTTCGAACTTAAGGTAGTAAAAAACGCCTGGAATATAGTTTGCAAATACGCGAACGATGTGCAATAGTATGCTTTAGAATGAACTAATGTAATAGAATTTGTCTCGTAGTGTATAGTATCGTAGTATATGCAGTTTTTGTAATTTCGGACGTAACTCGAGTGATATAATTATATATCACAGTATATAATGATGTATCATAGTATATAATAATATATCATGCATGAGATCTTTTAATTGTTCTGTTTCTAGAAACTTTAATTTTTTGTATTATTCTAAAAGGGTTTTCTTTTTCATAAAAAAATAACTCGGTATTTTTTAGAAAGATAAGATATTCACCTAAGATATTTGTTTGATTGTCTCCTAAGATATCGATTTGTTCTCCTAAGACATTTGTTTGGAATTTAGTAAAATTATTCTTATTATTTCTGACACATATCGACTGCATGTGTTTTAATGATAGCAATATAAGACATAGTTAAAATTTTGAAAGCATTTTGCAAGCATTAAAGCAATTAAAAATTTCGGATAGTGATGAGCTATGATATCGTATAAATTTGCAATTGAAGCTTATTGTACAATAATAGGGTTCAACCAATATATAATAACTTTGATTTTGCGATAGAATGGTTTAATTTGAACAAAACACGATTCAGTTAAACATTTAATAATATCGCAGATAAGTTATACCGTGTTATGATTCACGGTACAGATATTATAATTCAATTTTCAGCAGATTTTTTTGAGACTGTACAATATGATATTTAAACCAAAAATAAAAATCAAATGGGTACGATTGACAGTATAGTGATAAAAATTGTACAAATGAATTCCGTACTATACAGCAAAAACAGTTAACAATCATTAAGAAGTAAAATTTTCGCCGTGCTGCATTCTGTAATCTTTTTTCAACGATCGATCCAGTTTATATGTATAAGTTTTGATGCAATTTTATTATAAGTTTGATTCGAATATAAATGCATTGTTCCCTTATTTTAATTTTAAATGTCTCAAAATTAAAAACAAAAATGTTTTTAACTTTTAAAATTTTTGTTCAACGTTTTGATATTTTGCATTTGATTGAACAGGCGAGATTTGGAAAGATCCACTATATGTTACTGTTAACACAAAACTCTTAAACGGAATAGTGATATCTATTTTTGCCATAATATTATGTATTCAAACATAAAATGGAGTGAAGGGAAACTATTAAAAATATCTTAAATATATTAAATTTATTTGAAAAGCTTTCATTTTCTACAAAAAGATGTTAAAGTGTCCCTTGAAAGAGACGTTGAATGGCATACCGTTAATTCATTGACAGTATTTACAACGCGAAAATGTTTAAACATTCAACTGACTATATGAACTATTTTTAAAAAAAAAAGTATTCTGTTTTAATACTATCAGTTAAATATAGTTAAATATAGGTCAGTTAAATATAGGTGTTTCTTTCAATCTTCATCCAAAATACGATGTAATCGTTTTAAATAGCACAACCTAAGTATTTTTGATTGATATTCTACTATTCCAAATGTCATTTTTTCTGCTTTTCACCTTATTTGATTCAAAAATACCTCATGTATGTTAACAACAAATGTTAAAACTTCTGTAATTTTTATTTCAAAATCAAATTATTGATTAATTCTCAATTATAATATTTTCTGAAAAGTAATTATTGAATAAAAGAACTACAGTTTATTAACAATAATATATAGAAGATTAAAGAATTCCTCAAATGTAAATAAAATCTTTAGCATGTGAAATAATTGTAATAATCTTCAATTTATTGTTCACAATTTATTTATAATGTGTGGTGAATCAGTATGTTTACGGATATTATTAATTATTTAATTATCTGTTAGGACATCCTGCGATATTACTCGAGTCTATATTATGATATTTGGGCTACTCTACCAATTTTACTACTTTTATAACATTTTATAACCGTCATTGAACAGCCGACCCAAGTTTTTCGGTTTACGGCTGCTAATGTTCAACTATGTTGCCTTGTAATTTTGAACAAACTCCAGACGGTCCAGACTTGGGAATACTTGAATCAAGTATTGGGAGAAATTTGCCTTCGAGGAGGACTTTTTGATGGAACTAGCCAGCATTTGCGTCAGATGGGGAGGAAAACCAGCAAAACCTCCAATGGTTAGCCTGATGGCAAGGGTACTCAAACCCATGATCCGTCTACTACTGAGGATATTTAATGCCAGCATTGTGGTCGGTGCAAGCCAGATGCGAAATTCGTATTGACCATCCCCCCTGGGATTCTATCCCGGTTCATCTCATTGGAGGGAGGAACTCTCTACTCCCTGAGCTATCACGGCTCAATTTTATTTACTGACAAGTTGGATATTATGATTATAAGTTTGCTATTGTGTGCACCAGTAATTTTGGCATGGACATATCATTACCATATCAAAGTCAGCCTCATCCATTGATCTTTATAGAACAATTTTTTCATTTAGTGAGTTGTGGAAGCAAAATTGGAAACATTCCTCACAATCAATGTGTTCTTCGGTCGCTTACCGTTTTCTCAACAAAATAAAAGCCTGAATTTACATTTTCTAATTTGATGCATATTTATAAGGTAAAAAATTTCTGCTTAAACACCGGCACTTGGGGTGCATAATCTGCTAAATCCATTTTACAATAAAATCCATTTTTGCGGTAAAATATTCTAATTCTAATTTTTACATTAAAATTTATTTAATTAGTGTGATTCAGTTATTTAACGTTTATAATTACTCTAAAAATTACAGTAAAAATTGTTTTTTTTTTGTTAAAATGTACAAGTTCAATATTTTTATACATAAAAGGGAGGCGCATAAATGTTGTAATAAACTTCTAGAAGGTTAGGGACATCATAAGGATCAAAGCTGCATAGGAACCTATGCCTGGAAATGTCTTCATAAGCTGCTAGGACAGTTTCACCATTATGAACTGTTTCATCGCATGCTTCTCAATAGGTCATGATACAGAAGTATCCCTAGAGGGGTCGCATGTGATGACATTTCTGGGCATGGTTTCCCATGCAGTTTTAATTCTGATGTTGTCCCCTAACTCCCTTGGAAATTTTGTTGTAACAATTATGAGATCTTTTTAACATATAAAGTTTTTAGACTTGTACATTTTGACAATAATAATCTGAAAATGTTATTAAAAAAATCTTTAGTTTTAGAAGCAATTATTACAGATTCGAAACTTCCACACCCGAATCTGGCCAGTTCTTATAAATGCAGCAAAACATTTGTTCCCCAGTGTTATTTACAAATGTCATTGCAAGTAATCTTGCATTAAATAGATTGTATTGCGAATAAAAATTTCGAAGCAATACATTTTAAACAACGAAATTATAAGAATTTTCAGAAGCAATATTAAAACTATTTAATTTTGACTTCATTTGATATTTGTTTTGTGTTACAGGTTTCAACTTGCCCGAATAGTTTGACTTTGCAAATCAAAAATGGCACAAGTTGTTGGTACAATGACACACTGGTATAACACAATTATGGAAAATGCTGGTAAGTTTTGTTTTAATAAAAAAAAAAGAATTTATGAGATTTTTAATCGAGAAATTTTGTGTATTTATTCTTATATGCTACTTGCGTATGTGCTGATGCATAACAATTTTGCGTTCAAAAAAAATGTTTGAGTCAGATAAATTTCCAGCATATTTTAATAATTCTTTTAAGCATATACAAAATATTTTTTAAACTGAAAAATCATACCCACATGAGATTTTACCCACAAGACATTAACATAAATTAGGAAATATTCAAACGTTTGTTGCTTCTATTTTAATTGATTTTGTTATCCGATGAAAAATATGTTATTGTAGAAGATCGAAATCGTGAATGACAACCTGCGCCAAATACGTTAGTAAAAGAACAAATATTGGATCATGTTCTTAAATATGCGAAGAATTTTCGTTAAATCTCGACAAGTACAGGTAACGGGTTTGAAATAACTTTCCTCGAAGGTTGAAAAGTGGAACATTTTAGTTACCGGAATAAAACCCAGTCAATTGTACGGTTTCTCATTTATTTTATCTATGTGGTTGCAAAAAAAAATAATAGTGAG